TCCTGAGCTACAGGTAGTCCATCTTTTCTTCAAGAACTACTTTTTTTTCCCTGATCTGTCAGGATAATTCCAAGAGTTTGATTCCTTATGACCTTAGACAAAGGTAATCTTTGAAAATGGGGCTTGGTTTGAAACTCCTAGTGCTGTGAGCTCTTTAGTGCCACAGGACACAGCCTACGAGGCAGCAGTGTCTTTGAATATGGTAAGGTATTCTACACCGCTTACTTCCTATGCTGTGGCCAAGCTCATTAGCACAGGTTGGGCTAATTGGTGCTCTTACTGTCACATCCCATCTCTTAATGCAATGTGGCTACACTGCTTCTGGCTATGAGCAGGGTTCCTGGTTTTCTCTGTTTAAAAACCACATGTTCTCTAATTAAAAAACAAACAAACCACAAAATCCATATTTTTTCACAATTAAAATGAAAAACCACTATACATATAAATATCAGTTGAACACAACATTTTATTGATATATTTGCAGTTTGGAAGCTTACCAGTGCATCAATCATTCTAATAAAATCTAAATATATTATGGCACTTTATTTATTTTTTTTTTTATCATAGAAAATCAGAGCTCCCCCTGCCCCCTTTGCTCGCCAAGATGTGGGTCCAGCTGCAGCTTCCTTCCCCCCCCAACCCCCCCTGCTTTGTGGCACTGAGCAGCCCTGCCCTTCCCCATGCTGTTGTCCCTCACTCCCAACCCACAGTCCCCTGGTCCTTGTCCTCACTCCCAACCTGCTGCTCCCCACAGCCCTGCAGTGTGAGAGGAAGGGGAGTGTGGGGCTGCCATGGCAGCGCTCCCCCTCGCACCAGGTCCTGCCAGCTGGGCCATGAAGGTGGCTCCTTCCTGGAGCTGGCCTAGCTACAAGCCCCATGCCCTACAGTGGGTGCAGAAATTGTGGGGGGGGCAGGGGGGTGGAATATGCCTCCCACACCCCACCACATTGCCTGTGGCCCCCTTCCTCCCTGTGCATCGCCTGTGTCCCCCCCCAACCCCACCCCATAGACTTACCTGAAGGGAGCTTCAAAAGCTACACTCCAGCACCCTACCTGGCTGCCACATGAATGTGTGTGCACACACACACACACACACACACACACACACACACACACATGCTTATGGCACCCCCTGCATCCTGATCCCCCCAACTTCTTTTAAAGATACGCTTTTCCGTATCTTTCCACAGCAAACAGAAAACCTGGCTCCCTGCTTATGAGGCAGCCCACAGAGAAACACAACACATTTAAGGGCACCGCTCAGTGGCACAGTAAGTTTAGTCTGTGGTTGTGCCCTCCCTTCCATGTTTCCTGAGATCTGGGAAAATTAGGTTGCTTCTATTCATTTCACACAGCAAGGTCCTCTGCCTTATGTGAATGCAGGTGTATAGCCCATGTACATGTGCTTCAAGGGCCAACTACAAAAATCAGGCACCAGAGCTTCTACATAAGAGTAAGGTCAGAGCAATCTGTGGAGTTTCCCTGACCAAAAACAGCTCCTACAAACTCCAGCATGGAATAGGTTGTGAGTCAAGTTCTGGGATGAGACCAGTAGCAAATGGCAACACTTCAAAGGCTCCTGTGATGATACACAGACCCACAAGAACTGTAGTGGAATACGGTTGAACAGAGAGATAAGAAAGTAACTCAGCAACTTGACTTAGAAGGCAGGGGAGTTGTATGAATCCAAGCTTTAATTAATAAAATCCATAAATCTGCTCCTGTTCTTTCTCCCCTGAGACTTGTTTATGTTTACATAAGGAGTTAAATGTTCTCAGTTCACAGAATTAGTAAGTGTTAAAGACTGTCATGCAGGGAATGAGCTGAACCTCCCTCTCCATGGTCAGTAGGCATTTGGGGGGGGAGTGGTACTTACATGACTCATTTGCTTTTGCAGCAACAGTGATGTGCTTAGATCACGGATTATCAACGAGTGCTGTGAGATCCTTTGAAAGGTATGGCAGGAAGGACAAAGAGAGGTGTGAGGGGATAAGCAGATAAGGCCAGGCTCAGGCTTGTCCTTGCCTGGCCATCCCCACACCAGCCCCTCTGAAGGATGTAAGCACTATAATAAACAAGTTTTTTAAATGGCATGGCACTCAGTTCACAAAAGTTATGGAGGAGGATGCCTTGAGTCTAATGAGCAGTGTCTTGAGTCTAAAAGGGTTCAAAACTACTGGCTTAGATGGTGGCAAGAGGTGTTTTACCATGGGTAACTGTACACAAGAAGCACTGTGAAATACTATGGTGCCCTAAAGTTCTAAAGCAGCAAATCTGTCAGGCAGGTTTTTTTCTAATACGTGACTTCTGTTCTAATTTTTTTTGGTATACATCATGGAGAAGCAGCTCTGAGCAGACTGGGAGTTATTGTTAAAAACCTAGTGAAGGCTTGCTCTCCCCTTGTTAGTCTCCTCTTGTTACCAGAGCTTACCTGTCATCTTTCTTCCTAACCTTCCCTTCCTGGGCAAGGTGATCATCAAGCAGGTGGTAGGTTTTCTGCTTCTGTCACTGATGCCAATCTGCATCTTCAGTAGGGAAGCCAACAGAGGAGGTTGAAACTGGCCTAGAACCCAGCCTTCAGTTGGAGTTGTGACCATTCTGACCAGTGTCATTAATAATCTCCTTTTGGTTTTGGTTTGGGTAAATTTTAGTGACAGAATCACCTGTGGTTCAGTGGTAGAATCATTGTCTATCACACAGGAAACCTGGGTTCAATTCACACACACCAAACATCTGGACTCAGTCTGGTCTTTGGATTCGTTCTCAAAGGGAGGATGGAGGGTCTGGGCAGCCTCCACTTCTCCAAAAATTCCTGCCCAGGCACAGGCATCAAAGGTCTGGGTGGCCCTTGTGCATACACCATGATC